ATTAGAATTTGTTTTGCTTTTAGTTTTGCCCCATGCTAACATATAGTATACAAAACATTTAATATCATGGATTTAGCTGTTCAAGCTATCAAAATACATTGCAAATGAATATACTTGTTCGTCTAAAGATCTTAAACTCTGTGTATCAATCTTAAGTCAATCGGATCATAACTTTGGTGTCTAGAGCATCCACAAGATCACTGAGCTTCTTCATCTCACAGCTTTAAACACCGTGTATAAATTTAAAGTCAATCGGATATTAACTTTAGCCTATAGAGCGTCCACAAGATTTTTCAAAGTGATCAAGGGTCATAACTCTTGTAGTAATTATTGGAAATTGTTTAAAATCAATAGACTTCTTCATCCCATGACCTTAAACACTGTGTATAAATTTAAAGTAAATCGCATATTAACTTAGGCCTCTAGAGCTTCCACAAGATTTTTCAAGGTGATCAAGGGCCATAACTCTGGCAGTAATTATTGGAAATTGCTGAAAATCAATAGGCTTCTTCGTATCATGACCTTAAACACGGTGTATAAATTTAAAGTCAATGGGATATCAACTTTAGCCTCTAGAGCGTCCACAAGCAACTGTGGCCGCCGGACGGACGGGGGCAACGACAATATACGACCACGTTTCCATGTGGGCGTATAATAAAGGGTAAACAAATTTGATGCAAAATTTGTCATTCCACTCAAAAACTGTATTTTTTCTGTTACAGGTAATAATACTCTTCTGGATGGGTGATGGATTTTGTTTAATAATCTTGCTGCAGATTAGTTTTGGCTGCAGATTAGTTTTGGCTGCTGTTTTGATAAATCTCTTTTGGTCGAATTCCAAATCCCCCTCATGAATTTTCATAACATTCTCGAAGAATTGTCCCGGTTCTTCGCTTAATCATTACATCCTGTCACATTGTTTGCCCATAATACATTAGCATGCTCTAAACTCAACCATTCCCAAGATATTAGAGTTTTAAGGTCTCCAAAGGCGGCCATGTTGGATTTATACTAAAGATTGGACTATAGCGTTATGACGTCCCATGGACGTAATTTGGAAATGTTTTTCTGATTCTTAAGTAGCAGTTTCCTATCTACCTGCAATACATTTACACCCTCTGAACTTAACTATTCCCGATATATTGCAGTTTTAAGGTTCCAATGGCAGCCATATTGGATTGATGTCAACTGTTGGACGTATGACATTATGACGTCTCAGGGACGTCATGGGTTATGCTTTTTTTGATTCTTTGGCACCACTTTTATATCTACCCCTAATACATTTACACCCTATAAACTCAATCATGGCAGCCATATTGGATTTATGATAATTGTTGGTCATATGATGGTATGACATCACAGAGACATCATTTAGCTATCTGTACCACTTTCCTATCTACCCGTAATACAATTACACCCTCCAAACTCAACCATTCCCGAGATTTGGAGTTTTAGGTACCAATGGCGGCCATATTGGATTTATGTTAATTACTCGAAAACTTATCTTTTTATTTTGGGCGATTTTTGTTTGGGTGACCTCCAGGGACCCCTCTACCTGATTCTGTCGAGAATTTTTTTTTTTGTTTTTTTGTTTTTGTTTTTATTGACTGAAAGATAATTTCTACAGTAAGAAATATATAATCAAATAGCAATAGTAGTGTGGGAGTTTTCATTTTTTGAAAATCCCTTTATAATAGAACTAGCGAACGACATGCTTCAAAACTACTTCTAAGATATTGAAAGCACTCTCTACTTTCGTGTTTAGGACTGTTTGAGCACTGAACATCTATTTATTTACCATATTACATCAATAATTGTTGATTCTCATTATTTATTGTCAGAAGTCCGCCATGCTTGATTGGAGCCTTGAGCTTTTGCTACATGCTCTCTGTTTGGCTACGCGCGACCAATCAAATTGGCGTTTGAATAGTACTGTCTGCGCTGATCACATGAGCGTTTCGCGAGTAAGAGGGTATATAAGCAGCCGAATTCATCACTTGTTCTTGTACCACGGCCATGGAGTAATATAGGTACGGGAATAGTAACTATTCCATTTATTAGCCGGGAAAAGTAGCTTTTCCGCCATGTTAATAAACTATATTTAATTTTGGCCGTTATTTGTCGATGATTAAAAAAGTATTTAAATGTCGTGATTTAGTTAGGTTTAGTTATGAATTCTTCGCGCTCATACATTTAGCATTTAAAGTGGCTTTCTGCGTTTTCTAATATTACTGCACTTTCGGTTCGATTTTGTTTTGTATTTATACTCGTCGATCATACTTGGTGTGGGTCACTCTCGCGAAGTGATTCTGTGGAGCTTTTTTTAATTTGCGGACTTTTAGTTTTATTGTGCGGACTTTGTGCAAACCGGTACCTGCATTGTTTCGTGTGTAATGACTGTGCCTGCCATCTGAATTTTATTTTGCTTGACATAGCCAGAGACAAGGCACATAGCCACGGTTCTTTAGATTTTTGATTTTCCACGAATCGTCGGAGATATTAGGCGCCAAATTTTGAAAATTAAATTTTTACAAAAAACTTTTTTATTCATGAATATTTTAATGTGGTATTTTACCCAGGGTTAAAGAGTCATCTGATTTGACCAAAAATGGCACCATTTTTTGTCATCGTAAATTTCCTTGACCCCCATTGGCTAATTCAGTTTTTCAGTCCTGGATTAATTATTTATTGCTCGATTTGTATAAAACAAAGTTCATATGCTCCGTAATCCAAAATGTCATTTTTTTTGTTACCGGTAAAGTTACCTTTCGGCAACGAAAGTGACGTAAATTTAGCAAAAACTACAATTTTGACAGTTCGGTACCACTTTTTGAAAGCAAATATTATTTTTTTCAAATCTGGTATGACTGAAAGTGTGTGCCCTGTAAAGGCGCAGAAAACATCGGGCTCAGTTTTTTTAATTTCGATTTCGTTTTCGGGTCATTTTGATTTAAAGGTGAAAAAAGGTGTAAAAATGAGCTATTTACAACCCATTCAGGCTTTTCATATTTTAAAATATTTCTTCGCAACTTTCATAAACTTGTAGCATTAATCCATACGAAGAGAATCTATCTCAAAATTAGTTTGTAATATGAGCAGTTGCCGAGAAATGGTCAATTTTGCATGAGTCACTCTTTACGCTATTGTGTCTGTAAAAGAGTCAATTATTATTGGATTTTCATAAAAGTGACACCATTTGATGCATAATGTCAATTGTGACTAGTTCAACTCAATTTAACATTTTCCATGTCACCGGAAATGACGAAATTTGGGTAAAAACTGTATTTATAGCCTTAGAAACAAATAATTTATTGAAATGAGTCGTATTTGTTGTTTGTTTAATATTTTGATATTTGATTCTAATCAACTAATAGAATGAACCCATACGATCATATAGGTATCACAAAATGGTTTCTAACTTGTTCAGTTGTAGAGAAATAGGTAATTTTCAACAGGTCACTTTTCAAGGTTTTTTGTCCATAAAAGTGTCAATTATTATTCGATTTTCATGAAATTTTCACTATGTGATACCTAATGCCATTTACGATTTCATACAAGTAATTTAAGATTTTCATTATCACCGTAAGTAACGTCATTTTGGCAAAAACTGTATTTTTAGCTTTCAAAACAGATATTTTATTCAAATGAGTCTGAGTTGTTATGTTTTTAAAATTATGATATTTGATTCCAATCAACAAATAGAATAAACCCATACGATCATACAGATTCCAGAAAATGGTTTCTAACTTGTATGGTTGCAGAGGAATTGACGGTTTTCTACAAGTCACTTTTTAAGGTTTTTGGTCTATAAAAGTGGCAATTATTATTCGATTTACATAAAATTTTCACCATGTGATGCCTTATGCCATTTCTGATTTCATAAAACTAATTGAATATTTTCATTATCACCGGAAGTACTGTACACTTACATGTAACAAATATATAAAATGAATTGATATTGCTGGATTTGGTTGATTCGGCGTCCATTTTATTTGATGTGTGCAATGATGAGGTGGAAACCTGTTTAATGGTTTCATTGGTACCGGAAGTGACATATGTTTAGGGTAACGTGGCACCGGTGAAACCCGTCATTACTGCATCGCAGTTCTAGTTTTACTTTGATATTAATATCTATTGCGACATTGCTTTTTGTCCATTTCGCGAAACTGTTCTTTTAACATTTCGAGTAGATCAACTTTATTTTTCGATTCCCTTCTATCGTAATGCGCATGCAAAGAACATGTCAATATCTGAGTTATGCAAATGTTTGTTTTTATTTGGTTGGTGGGTGAGTATGTGTTTGTTTAGGGGGTGAGAGGTGGGGATAGTCTTTTGTCATGCATCTGGCGATCGTGTGACGCCTTGGCATGGTGAAAGCCTTCAGTCTTGCAAGCAAGTCTAGTTATCATTATTATTACAGCATATTTACAGTGCGCCTTTTCATATAACATGTTCAGGGGCACTTTACAAAGTGACAATGTAATCATAAATAAACAACAAGATTATGGACATGTTAATGATTGTAAACAGAGTCAGTTAAAAGCCTGATTAAATAAATACGTTTTAAGTTGTTTTTTCAAAGAATATAGAGATGTACAACATCTTAAACTAAATGGTAGATTATTCCATAAAACAGGTGCTTGAGCCCTGACCATAAGAGACTAGTTGAACAGTTTTGGGCTTTAAAAGTAGTTTATCTGATGTAGGTAATGTTCGGCCAGGTGTATAAAGTTCTAAAAGATCTGAGAGGTAAACAGGAGCTAAATTATTTAAACATTTAAAAGTAAGTAATAAAATCTTAAAATCAATTCGATATTTAACCAGTGTAAATTATATAAAACAGGAGTTATGTGGTCATATTTCTTAGTTAAACATGTTTTGTGTAGCCTATTCTTATTAATTTTACCATTTTTAAAAACTTAGGTCTTGTTTAAATGAATGAATATGAAAATTTTTCTGAAACATGGAATGAAGAATATTGTAAATGAAGTAATACTTACAAGCATGAAGAGACTGTAGAACAAGTCATGATGTTTACGTATAATATTAAAAGCTTGCGAACACAGATCAATAAAATGTTGAAACTGTCCAGTTTGTTTATCACCATCATTAATAACGTATACCATATCAGAAGTCAGAACAAAGGGAACACGATCTCTGTCAAAATATAAATAGTATGACAGATATAATGGCCAGCGCTTGTGAGAACATTCAGAGACTTAAACATATCCAGTAGACTTGTCGCTTAACCCTTTCAATGCTAGACGTAAATCCACTGCCTGTGCTAGACCCTTTTTTGAGGAAAAAAGGGGGGTTGGAACTGAATGCCAAACAGTACTTATAGCTTTTATGAAAAATCTTTTTGTCTTTTGGGATGGGCATGAGGTTGGGCTATGAGGAAAAAATAGAATTTTGGAAATTTGCATAAATATGTAGTCACGTGACGTCATGGTGGCCATTTTGGATTTCTCATTTCTCACTAAAGCTAACACGAAAACAAATTTTTCTCCATGAAATACTTATGAGATATTGTTTTTTTCACTGGATTTTGATAAAGATATATAAAATGAACAAAAATATCAATAGCAGCCATGAGCAATCCCACCACGAACACGTGCATCATGTCTCCCGCTGCCATGACCACGTGTGGATTGCAATACCTTGTTTTTACTTTCACTTTCATCCCCAAGTCCCATATCATTATCAATATAGTCAGTCAATAGATCTACATACATGTTCGGGACTCAGGAATTGCCTACGTCTTTTACGATCCTGCAGGCCAGCATTATTATCAACATCAGAATTGTCAGAATCTACTGCAGACACAGGGCTATCGTGTTCACATTGGGATTGTTCATCATGCACGGGAGACATAGCCAGCCATGGGCGGAACATCGCGCAACAAATCACACACTTCATAATACCAATCACTGTCCTGACTACTATCATTATCAAGTAACTGGAAACGAATTATGTGTATCACCCGCCTCGAAATTGTTCACGTGTTGGTCAGCTAGACGTCATTCAAAACTTCGTCGAGAGTGCATCGTCTACATGGTCACTATGCACTCCACCATTTTACGGTTTGCCGCTTTGAAACACGTGGAAATATGTTCTAGTGTATAGAAAATACAATAGATGGCACTTGCAGTTACGGTACTAATTTTAGCGAGGGCTTTACTGAGTACACGGTAATACCGGGTACGCGTATTTTACCGACATTTTATAATACCTGGTACTACCGGGTAGACGCAATGAAACGGTGGAAACGGTGGAAAAAGAATCTATTTAGACTTGGATATTTATGGTAAATGGAATTGAGATCTCCAAGTCAAATTTTGTGTACTCCAGTAAAAGTCAAAAAGTTTGTGAAGTTTTAAAATTACATATCTTTACGCTTGTGTGTGTGTGTGTGTGTGTGTGTGTGTGTGTGTGTGTGTATATATATATATATATATATATATATATATATATATATATATATATTAGAATAGTTAATGAAAGCTGCTCTTTGGTAATATATAATTGAAATTAAAGATGGCAAAATAAAACTACATTTTTTTGGTAACGTTTTCACAGGGATAGCGCCTCTTTAGGCATTTATTAAACAATAATTCAATTAACAATAGTCTATGACGTCACAATGTCATAGTTACATGATAAAATTATTATACAGGCAAGGGTAGTTATTTCTTAGCCTACAGACTACAAATATCCAATCCCACCACAGTCTTTATTTTATTTAATTTAATTATTCTCTTATTTAGAATTAAGTTTCGGGTGGTACTTCAATAAAATAGCTTTCTTTTGCCTCCAAGAGGTCATTATCGTTTATTAGAAGGTTTTTACCCGCAATTTGTGGTAATTAGTCAATTGCTGCGCAGGCATGTAGAGCCGTGTCAGAACTTTAATGCAAACCTTTGAGAGACAAATTTTATAGTAAAGTGTTCTATGCGTCAATCTCCCTAACTTTAATTTTTGAAGACATCGATCAGGGTTGTTGAATCCAGTGATGCATATCTGTGGTCCTTTTTAACTCTATAATTCCCGCCTGCTCTATCTAATATAGAGTGGCCCACACACTCAATTAGCATGTATATAAACTGACCTGTTTTAACAGCATGTTGTCACGCGGATCAAAACTTGGTTTATGAGAAAAGTGCTCTCACGGGCTCGCTCGTGCACTGTAAGCAGCAAACAGTCGCCCAAAATAGACATTCACGGGACAATATACATTCACTTATTTATCAATGAAGCCATGTAAAAAAAATTATTCTTTACTCGTTGGACTTATAAAAATAAGTAGTTAAGAACTAGATTAAAATTTTGGCTAAAACTCGGCGATTTAATTTCTAAGTTAGTTGATTGTAACCAATGACGTATATATTGTAAAGGTTCTCGGTTCAGAGTCAACTCATGTAGTTTCGCCCTTTTTCTATCTTTTAAATCCACTCTCGTGGCAACATACCGACACTGCAAGACTGTGAAAGTTACTTTTATTTAACCGTAAAACTCTGTTGTTAGTGGGCGCTTTAGTTACTTTAGAAGTTACATTGTTGCTAGCTCTAAATACGCAGAAAAAAATTGAGACTGGAAATTAATTGAACGAAATTATTTTCCCTAGTCTCGATTAACCAGACGTGTATGATTAAAATAAAATGACTGTACTGGTCACAAGACTCGGATTCTAATCATTTTAGGGCGCAGCGAATTTGGCCTCCGGTTTTGTGTCAAATTTAATAGGAGGATGCGCCATTATGGCTATGCCATTCGTGTTTAGTATCCTTATGCATTCGCCATTTCTAACATGGTGGTTACAAAACGTTTCAGTTATTATAAATCCAGCAACAACTCTTTTTTCTAGAACTGAAATATATTTCCCAAAAGACGCGCATTGACTGTTTCATAATTATTAAAAATATGAAAACGTGACACAATGCGTCTTACTTTCGAGAACAATAGCTATAAAACAGAAATTTCCAGATTGATACATAATACGACACAACCAACTATAAGTGGTAATTCAAACACAAAGGATATATTTAAACATAAATTTCTCTAACATTTCACTAAAAGATCCCCATTGTAGAACTTCCAACTTATTATGTAGTCATTGCCATGCCGGTTGTTTTTAATAACAGAATTTTCCAGTCATATAACAGATCAAAGAATTTTTCAAGACGCATTGTAGCGTATCGACTTCTATTTTTGGATTATCTGGCACGACAATTAGCCCAATCATATCAAAAAGCATGCAGTTCCACCTTGAAATGGGTTCAATGGATTTACGGTTTATTCTATAATTTATAACACAGTTTAGAGCACAATGTGTAGGAGTCGCATTTTTGACTTCTAAGTAGATTCTTATACGGAATTCCGGATGCAATGCTAGACATTTGGACCACTGCTGCCGAATCGATTTGAAAATGCTTAAGGCTTTTTTTCTTTGCGCATGTCGTGTGCTCCTCTGTTTTTAATGTGTGTGATTTTTATATTTGTGATAATTATTTCAAACAAAATACACGTAGGATTATCATAAAGGATATTTAACATCTACAATATGAGAACGGTAAGCACTCTCTACATACTGCGTTTGTAAACCACGAAATTCACCCCTTATTAGAAAGTTTTAACTATAGTCTATTGCATGTAAACGTTAAAAAAATCAGCTCAAAATACAGACATCTCTCTCTCTCTCTCTCACTAAGGGCTGCGCACGCGTACAAATGTTAAATTCAATCAATTGTACGTACGTAAAAAAACGAAGAAAGCCGACTGCGGAAATTAAGAATTCGTTTTTCAGAGCAAAATTTGAAACTTTGATGTGACCAAGAAACATAACTCTTTTTAATGAAAAAATCTACCGCTGTAACGCTACTTGGCCGATCAACTTTTCCATATTATTAGAAAGTCCCATTCAAATGGCCAAATCACACAAATATTCAACTTAGCAATAGTTTAATTGTTAATGAATGATGATTTTAACGGTAAGTCTTATCATATTTGTTAAAATAAGCCCCAAATATAGCTCGTTTATTGGATTTTTGTTATTTGCACGAACCACCCTATCTAATAATGGATTTAGTACGTTATTAAAATCGCCTCCAATTATTATGTTGGAGTTTTCATTTCTTCTAGAATTGTTTCTATTTTATTAAGAATATGTAAGTAGTATACCGATTGTTCTAAGTTGTTTACAGGACTATAGATGTTGAAGAGGATATATTTTTCATTACTTATTAATAATAATAAAGCAGTATAATATCCTTCAACATCTAAATATTCCTTTAGGATGTCAAAGCTGTCTTCCACTTTAAATAGGATAGCAGTTCCAGCTGAGTTGGATCTATTGTGTGAGAATACAGCTCTACCACCCCATTCTCTAACCCAGGAACCCTCATCATCCTTTATGCTATGAGTTTCTTGTAAGAAGCAAACATTACATTCTGTATTTTTTATCCAGTTAAATACCTTTTTACGTTTAGTTTTATCACGTAAATAATCCCCTAACGTTTAATGATAACAGTTCTAACTTGGCCATTTTTGTTTTAATGGGTTGGATGCAATAATTGACGGTAAAGCATATGCATACCCTGAAATGTGATTACATTTAATACAATGATAAGTTACTCTAATATAAAAATGCTTGTAATTAGAATTTTGTAAGTTTCATTATGTTTTTCTTTTCAAATATACAATATATAATATACCGATAGTATACAATTTTTTCTACATTTACATCAATTAATTTTCGTAAAGCTATAGAGAATTTACATTCTTTGTGTATATTCAAGGTGAACATGTTACTAAGATGCAGATTCGAAGAGGGTGGTGATGGGGGAGTGGGGGTGTGTCTTAGTTATTTATAATTATCTGTTGATACAAAGGAAGATGATTTTCCATTTGATGTGGTTCCTTACAATATTGAAATCATTTTAATGGTAGGAATTATTTATACATATTGGTTCCTGAACATTACTATTGCCTCTATATAATAATCATTATAAGATTCACTTTAGGTTTTTTATTAACTGAATTTAACCATATTTAACATGTACAGCATCATTATCTTATAATATTTATATCTATTTAGAAAGTTGATTTGTTAATGAAGTGTGAATACATATCATTTGAATTTTATTTTCATGCAGTAGATC